GCGCTCCACCACTGCAGCGATTTGCCACACAGCACCGCTGCATGCTAATCTGGCCCCTATTGAAAAGAGGTCAGCAGTGCACTGAGCCAGGGTCGTGAACAAAAGACAGTTATACAACACCACACAATCTGGGCTCTGTTTACAAGGCTGCTGGCCTGGCTGAAATACTCGGGAGTCAATGAAGGTCACCTGTCAACTTAGAGTAGTGCCTAAAGATTACTTTGTGCGGCTATAAACGACCGTTAAATGAAATGATGAATTTTTGAAAGATTTTGAAAACGGAAAAAAAGATAGTCATGCCGGCCCAGCATCATCAACATTGAAAAATGCCCCTGCATGAAGTGGTTAAAGCCACTTTGCATAGACAACCGATAACAGAAGAAGAAGTGGAAAGCTACAGTATATGCCGTGCAATTTTGCACAAAATATAATCCACATGAACCAGAAACCTATCTATGTAATCAAATCTTGTAGGTACTGAGCTGACCAGAATTGAGCTGACTCAGTGTGGTATCTCTTGAAAAATTGCTGTGTTGAATGTTTTTTCTTTAACTGTGCAGAATTCAATTACTACTCCTCAGTATAAATGGACCCTTAATGAGAAAGAATGTTGGTATCTGAACTGTACATGTGTTGTAATGCACATTATTACTTGAAGTTGAGGCATCTTGTGATGGAATTCCAAGAGCACAGCTCTCCATGACTGTAGTATGGGTTCTATGCGCACTCCTTACCAATGTCATTAATCTCCATGTGTCACATCTCAGCCCATTTTATTGTTTTTTTTAAATGACAACTATTATTTTTCTTTCATGTAGAGTTTTATTGAGTTTCTCAATTTTGGCTGCAACAAGAGAAGTTGCTTGATTTAAATATTCATTTCAGTATGTGATGTCATTGATTTGCATTTAACACGAGGTGCTTGGGGCTCTAGATTGTCGACTTTGCATTTGAATGGTAAGTACAAGCAGTTGGGATGTTTCAGTTGGGTGTGGTCTTTTCATTGGGTGCACTGGAGTGTGAGGGAGTGTGGTTTATATAGAGTGAAGATGTGCTACCCATAGTCAGTCAGTTGTTTTGCTGTAAAGCATATTAACACCAGTGGTCAGGCTCTCCAATCCAACAAGAGCAATTTAAGCTAAGGGCCTTGTGCTCTTTTGGGGTT